TTGTTAGCACCGTGCTAAGATACTGCTATCTCAACGCTGACGCCATTGTGTATGTTGGAAGCTAAACTGAGATAACATGTTGACGCCATTGTGTATGTTGGAAGCTAAACTGAGATAACATGTTGACGCCATTTTGTATGTTGGAAGCTAAACTGAGATAACATGTTGACGCCATTGTGTATGTTGGAAGCTAAACTGAGATAATAATCGCTGGAGCAAAAGCACCGTGTTCGGCTCTTTTATTAAATATCTCCCTTTTAAAGGGCATTTATGAGCTGATAGGTTTTAAAACAGCAGGATTTAGACTGAAAAATGTTTTTATAAGATCATTCAGTTTTGTTGTGTATGGAACACTAGTTCAAAATAAATGATGTCCAAGCAGACGACTGGAACAAGCACATAGCAACATTTTATTTCCAAACGGGAACTCACTTCTTCTTCTGTAGTTACAGGTTCTCTAACCAGACTCTCAAAACCACGAGAGCGCCACCTACAGAGTTTCATTAATTTCTGTGTCTGGAACACCACAGCTCCTCCCCTGTAAAATCAGTACTTCTCAATCAAGTATACATTTTTCAGGATTTTTTTTTTCGTATGAACATAACTGAAAACAAGAAACTTCTTCTAACTCTCATTTAGAGTTGTAATTTCAAGTTCAGTCTGTCAGGAGGACGCCGGTTCCTCTCTGGACGAGTGTTCCTTTCGACTGTAGGCGAAGACATGTCTATTGGTGGACTTCCAGCAGTTTTTTCTTCCACCTGTTGATCCACACCTTTAGTTGTAACAAGATCAACATCCTCATTCCAAAAGTTTCCTGTAGACAAGTCTGTCTGTGTAACACAAACTGGATTTCCATTTACACCCAGAATCTGATTTACATGTCTTTTAACACATTTTCCATTCACTTCCACACTGTAAGTTACAGGACCCAAAATCTCTTGTACAACTCCGTTCAACCACTTCTCCCCTCCCCTGTAATTCTTTACTAAAACAGGTTGACCTACTGTGAACACTCTAAGACGTGGGAGCATTGGTTCCGTTCTTGTTGCATCCTATGAGAAAAACTGGGGTCTGATCAGTGACAGTCTTGTTCTAACTTGTCTTTTTAGGAATAACTCAGCAGGAGTTTTCCCTGTGGTTGTATGGGGTGTGTTTCGATACCCTAAAAGAAAATTTGCAACACAGTGCTCAAGTGTTAAACCACCTACAGCTCGATTCTTGGCTAGTGACTTTTTGAGATTTTGGACTAAGCGCTCTGCTAGTCCATTACTGGCAGGGTGGTAAGCAGGTGACTTAATGTGCTGCACTCCATTCTTTTTTAGAAAAAAACTCAAAATCTTGTGAAAAAAACTGAGGACCGTTATCTGTAACAACTTCTTTTGGTAACCCATAAGCAGCAAACAAATTCCTCAGTGTTTCAATGGTTTTGACTGAAGTCGTAGTATGCATGGGAATAATCTCTGGCCATCTAGCATAGGCATCCATAACTACTAGAAAACATCTGCTTGTGGTCCTCTGCAAAGTCCAGATGGATTCTCTCCCACGGGCTGGCAGCCCACTTCCAGGTATGCACTGGTGCTGTACAAGGCATACTACGCTGCTTTTGACAAATAGTACACTCACTGACTTCCTGTTCAATGCACTCATCTACTGCTGGCCACCAGAATAAACTTCTGGCAAGAGATTTCATCTTTACTATTCCCCAGTAGAGAGACATTAGGGACAGTTCTCGTCAAGTCCCATTTTGACAGGTCCCCTTTGACCTAATTCCCCCCCCCCTCCCCCTCTCCCTCCCCCCCCCTCCTCCTTCCCCTCCTCCTCCTCCTCCTCCTCCTATTGATTTTTATCTTTTTAAAGAGTAATACCAATACAACAACAGTTATTTAATCAAGAAAAATGTATATAATTATATACTATGTCTACTGAAGTTTTAATTAGATTTGGAATGGAGATGTTGCTTCTGATTCTGCGACTGGCGTACAACTGTGGTCTGAGCTGTGGGGGGTTGATCAAATATAGGGTACGGCCTGTGAAATCCATATGGTCTCTGTGTTAGGTTTTTTCTGTTTTCTCTCTGCTGAATTCAGAAAATGTCGTATATCTGACTTTCTTTTTAAGAGTAATACAGCACCCAACAACAACAACAATTATTTAACCAAGTAAAAAAAAAAAAAAAAAAGTATATAATTATGTAGTGAAGTTGAAATAGATTTGGAATGGAGATGTTGCTTCTGATTCTGTGTCTTTATTCAGCCAGGCATAGAATTGGAGGTCCGAGCTGCGATACGCAGAGGCTTGCTTGCTTGCAAGTAGGTGCGAACTTTGCTGGATGCAGACAGAATGACAAATTAGCCACCTCGGGGAATTCAGAGCAAGACCCTCATGAACCCCGCTGGTTCATGAGGGGGGCAAACCAGAGCGACATCTGGTTTTTGTTTTTTTTCTCAGTTTATCGCTCTTTGTCTAAAGAGTGATTACCTTCAGTTATCTGTGAGCGACACACGCTTTAAACACATTTGAAACTCATAGATTTTTCTGTAACACTCACTAGTGTGATACATTTCAGTAAATGTTTCTCATTTGTACATGTACTTCTTAAGAATATGTGACTGTTTGTAAGCAGGCCAACGGGAGGTTATTCAAATTAGACTTTTAACTTTCCTTGGTTAAAGAATTTGTCCAGAATTTTCCAAAATTTATCCTCGCATCGTTGTAAATGCTACTTTCGTTCAATTTTTTTTCCTGCTGCTGAATCAACACTGATCTTCCCAGAGCTTCATGCTTTCTCCAAAATAGTAAACGCCGGTATAAAACACATTTGAAACTCATACATTTTTCTCTGTAACACTCGCTAGTGTGAACATGTCAGTAAAAGTTTCTCATTTGTAAATTTATTTCTTAAGAATATGTGACACTTAAACAGACCTTACTGAGACTACTCATATTTAAGTTTTAGCTTTCCCTAGAGTTGAAAGTTATTTTTTCTCTCTTTCTTTCTTTATTTTTTTAACACTGCACAACTACGCTCCGACATGGTAAATTATTTTGTTACCTTTATCATTATCCACTACTTTGTCTCTAACTTATATGCTGTATGTTTCTCAGCCCAAATGATGCTTTTTTCCTCCATCCATCATTTTACACACTTGAGTGTGTTCAGTAACAAAATATAGTTGTTGAATTTTCCATTACTGAAGCTTATAAATGATCAATGTAAACTTTCAGTCTGTATTCAGATAGTGAATACAATTCCTATTATTTAGATTGGATGTTTTAATGCATGCACTTGGATTTCTATCGATTTATTGAATAATAGTCTGCGTAAACATTTATCAACTGAATGGCCATTCAGGTTTCATATAATTTTTTTAGTTTGGTTTTTGTTGCACAACTTCAAATATATGCTGGCTATCAACCAACCATTCAATCAGTGATTTTTTTTCTTTTTTTTAAAATAACCCCTCTCACATCTTCTGACAACTAGCCCCAAGTTATAATAACATTAACTAAGTTTTGCTAATGGTGCACTTTACCTAAAAACAAATATTAAAAAAAAAATAAAACATACTCACTACACAGCCCCTTCTCCCAGAGCTGGTCACAACATGGTGATTGTTTTTTTTTTTACCGTTAAAATTATCTACAGCTTTTGTTCCTTGCTTCTCATGATGCTATCTGTTCACTAATGTTCACTAATGTTCACTAATGTTCACCTCTTGTAAATGATAAGCTTATTAACGAACAATATGAACCATCAGCATGCGTTAAAGAAGATCATATCAGTCAGATGAAGTAAAAATATCATGATACTCAAAGCAATCAAAAATATATTGATCTGAAAGGTAATTTCTCCTTTTCAGGGAGCTTAGACTGAATGAAAGGAATTATTGAAATATACGACAAATATTTAATTTGCAGAATTCCGATAATAGAACTTCAACTATGAATTGAAAGATTACATTGTATTTATTGACTGAAGATCACTTAATAAATCAACTGTTAATTAGTCATCATACTATGTAAATGACTAACAAAATTTGAACAAACAAGAAACTTGACTACCTCAAGGGATTTCTCACATTGGAGAATCAACTGTCTGATTTCTTTGCCCACTAAATTTAACCTTACCAAAGCTCTACAGTAAAGCAAACGGGTACTTAGTTTGAAGCCTGAATCAGATGCCTTCAGCCTTCTGCTGAACCTGGACTTTGGCCGCTCTCAGTGTAAAATAAAACATCAGACTTTTTAAAAAAAAAAAAAAAAGTCCAAGTGAACATCACTTAATTATCATCAACTAGTTGTTTATACTCATCTTAAACCATTGGCAGGAATCTTTGGAAAAAACACAAACAATAAAAAAAAAAAGCTTTATCAGTTAATCTATTTAAATTGAGTCCACGCAACAACAAAAATAAAATAAAAAGTGAACTATCTGAAAGTAGTGAGGATGTTGTGTGCTAAATGTTTAACGTTTTAACATGCCCAGCAGACACCACACCATTTCTGCTCAAGCAAACCACAAGGTTTTGAACAGGACAACTATGTCCCAAAAAAAAAAAAAAAAAATGAGACCGTGTATCTTTATTGTATGTAGCAAATATATTGCTGCTGGTGCTGCTGCTGCTGTAGGTAGAAAATAAAAGAAGTTTTTGCAGAGGAATAATATTCTGGATGAGTTTAAGAATATTCTTTGCCAAAATTACACAGTGTAACTACACTTGTATTTTATATGTTGCAGTAACTGAATCTTTTGAGGCAATTGGTTTGCATAAATTTAAGTAAATCCAACCTATTTTCCTGCTCTACATACTTAGCTAGCAATTTGCCAGTTAGCTTCCCAGTCTGAATTTCTGTGCAATGTCTTTATTCAGTGAACTCTTCTATCCTGTACTCCAATTCTATTCCTGAACTCCGATATTCTACATCCATTTTGTGAATGTTTTGCTTGCTTGCTTGTTGATCTTCAGCATGCTCTGAAGGCAGTATCGAGTTTCTCTTACTTTAAACCGCCCAACTTGCACCTGATTGGCACTTTAGCCTTTTGATTCCCTCCCAGTGAGGCGGTGCTTCACAAAGCAAATTGATTGTCAATCTGTTGCTCTCTGCCTGGTGGTTGTTTCAGAAGATGAGGAAACATGGTGACTGAGGTTTACAGCCAACTAGCCAGATTATGCAGCTTTTTTTTTTTACTAGATAGCGGTCCTAAAAAACTACATACCTTTAAAATATGAACAAATACGTACAATTCCTTAATTATTTGATTCATGGGTGATACAAGTTTGGTCATTTGGAATGCAACTCAAGGACTGTGGCTCTTAATGTAAGTATTTCTGCTACTGGACAAGAAACAAGGTTAAAAGATGACAGTTTGTATTTACTGAGAGCAAGACTATGTCTAGTTATCAGGACAGACTGAGACCTGTAAAAAAAACTGTTGGATCCATATGACACAATTATGATCTTAATATGACAGAGGAGGGAACCGGTTATCTGCTCCAACAATGTATTAGCCTTCAAGGAAATCATTTTGGATGCATAGAGCAGAAATATCTCAACATCAGATTATTATTATTGTTTTTACTCTTATATCAGTGATTTAAAAACATTTTTTAAATTTTGATATCATGCAGTACCATGCAGTACCATGTGGTCGACCGCAAAGTTGTGCGTGAATGTAAAAGTCAATTATTTTAGTCACCCAAAGAAAATTGTAATGTGTTTATTATGAGTAGGATTAACCGAGCTGAAGGGAAAACAAAGAAAAAAGGAGAAATAAATATTCAGCGATACAGAATTGACTCAGCAAATATGAACCTAGGAAATTATTGAAACCTTCAAGAATTTTATGTGGCATAAGATATTTAAGAAAAATAATTCTAATTCTTTATTTGGTTGTTATCTCTAAAATACGTTTTTATGTTGAACCCCAGACATCTAACCTCTTTCCCACAGTTTTTCATTTTGCTCCACTATACTTATAGTCAATGTTTTAAAAAAATAAAAAACCCAGTACAGAGTTTTGAAGCGATGGAGGAAATTTACGTCAATATGGAACCTGTTGAACAAAGTGCATCTCATCCCACAGGTAAGAACAAAGTTACAGAGAAATATAGTATGTATTTAATTTAATTACATTTTGCTAAGGCTCAGGTTTCTGTTCAGGTTTCTGTTCAGGTAGCAGCAGCTCCAAAGAGAGGCTCTGCCTCGGTGTGGCCGTATCTTTGGAATCCTGAACGTTTTCCTTTTGACCAAACTCATCGCCCTCAGTGTACACAGTGAGTCTTGTTATAGTCATCTTAAAGATGTAAAAATGAGTACATTTTATGTTTCTGTTATAAAAAAAAAAAAATGTCATTGATTCCTTTCTGAAATCGAACTGATGAATTAGCAAGGGTATAAAAAAGAATAAAGCTTGATGACTCAAAGTGATGCAGAGAGCTGAAACATTACGCGATGTTACATGAGTTTGAATTATTTTCAGCAATGCTTGCATTTGCAGCATTTAGGGTAGAATGTCTCCTCTTTCTTTTTTTCAAACGATTTTCTGTTCAGCGTTACCTCAGTTTAAATTCTACAGCAGATTTTACACCTGATTGGCACTTTTGCCAAAATCATGAAATTATTTTGTAAGTCTTAAGTGAAAATACGATGCAACTTGTTTTTGCAAACACGTTTGTTGATTTTATTTATTTATTTTGTTTCCAGCTCATGACATGACAGCAGATTTTTCTGACATCAGCAACATTCTGACTGAGCAGAACAGCAACAAGTTTCCCTCCGTGAACGCTAACTTCACTGATAACTTCACTGAAACGGATCCTCCACGAGCTGAAAAGACTTTAAGGTTTGTCAAAACTTTAAAAAACTTTTCCCTTTTGAATTGTAGAGTATAACTACGTAATAACTTTCCTTTCTGGTCTAAACAAATATAATATAATATATCTAAATGAAGACTTTTATTAAAATTTATTAAGTACTCTATCATTTGTGTGCGCTAAAAACAACAATGTAAAAGAAATAAAACTTTGATTTTTTTTTTCTCCTTACGGGGAGATTTTGGTCCTAAGGAACAGCAGAGATCAGTTGTTGCTATTATTCCAGGGGCTGCAGAAGAAGAGAAGAGCAGATCCAGTACTGATCGACGTTTAGATGTTGTGTTCAGAATGATACTATTAACTAACAACAAATAATGTAGCTTATTAGCACGTTGTTGCATAAAAGCCTAAAGATAAAATGTACACTTTCAGCCGTTGTGATTTATAAAGCAACAATTTTACCGGTTGGACTCTGTGTTTTTTTTCTTTCTTTCTTGTTAAAACTCTGACATGATAAACAAACGTCGGACAGAGGATGGTTTTTGTGCGAAGGATCTGTTTAGCATGATAAGTTCTGATTGTGTCTTAATGTGACTTTTACTGCCTGACTTTATGGAACTCCAGTTGTGTCCAGTAACAGCGGGTCAAGCTCTATCTTGGTAAAATTATATTTCTACATGTCCAATTATTTACTATCATTTGTAATAAAGTGATGCCGACACCATGGAATCAACAGTGAGGAGCTTGTTCTAGTCATCTTAAAGATGGAAAGAGTCAATGTTGTGCTGATTCTGAGTATCTGAATGATTAACCGAATGATTTTTATTCATTTCAAAAGTTCAGTCGGTGAGGTTATTAATTTTGTGGTGTTCCTACTCTATGAAAGAAACAAAGAAGAAAGGTAGCAATCGTACATGTTGGTTCCACAGGCTTAGGGTTAGGGTTAGTGTGACTCATATCTTTTGCTTCGTAAATAAAAATTAAGATCGTAATTTTTGACAACAGCTTCTTAATATTGCAAGGGATGACCTTTGCCAGCTCAGACACCAGGCAATGGTATATGGGAAAATGCACAGTAAATTTTGTAACGTGTAAATTTTGATGTTACAGAGAAAAACATCAATCTCTGCTTTCATCAACCCCTAAAACATTGCTCATCATTTCTCTTCAGTTGTACAAATTGTAACCTTTCTTAATTTAATTCAGTTGATTTTAAAATGCAAATTTTACAATAGGTAATCTAAAGACAGTTTACAAAAAAATAAAAAAATAATAATTTTCCATTCTACTTATCAAACAGCGCAGCAATTTAAATGTATTATTTAAGTCAGAAAAAAACAAACATAAAAGTTAAGTAATCGGAGTTTTAAAAAAAATTGCAGATTGCATCATGTCATTGACTTGTCATTGACTTGACTTGTTTATATGCTTCTTCCTCTTCAAATTACTGTTATCCTATCATGACCGATTTTATCCATATTTTCAGGGAAAGCCTGTGGAACCAACATGTACGATTGCTACCTTTCTTCTTTGTTTCTTTCATAGAGTAGGAACACCACAAAATTAATAACCTCACCGACTGAACTTTGAAATGAATAAAAAGTCATTCGGTTAATCATTCAGATACTCAGAATCAGCACAACATTGACTCTTTCCATCTTTAAGATGACTAGAACAAGCTCCTCACTGTTGATTCCATGGTGTCGGCATCACTTTATTACAAATGATAGTAAATAATTGGACATGTAGAAATATAATTTTACCAAGATAGAGCTTGACCCGCTGTTACTGGACACAACTGGAGTTCCATAAAGTCAGGCAGTAAAAGTCACATTAAGACACAATCAGAACTTATCATGCTAAACAGATCCTTCGCACAAAAACCATCCTCTGTCCGACGTTTGTTTATCATGTCAGAGTTTTAACAAGAAAGAAAGAAAAAAACACAGAGTCCAACCGGTAAAATTGTTGCTTTATAAATCACAACGGCTGAAAGTGTACATTTTATCTTTAGGCTTTTATGCAACAACGTGCTAATAAGCTACATTATTTGTTGTTAGTTAATAGTATCATTCTGAACACAACATCTAAACGTCGATCAGTACTGGATCTGCTCTTCTCTTCTTCTGCAGCCCCTGGAATAATAGCAACAACTGATCTCTGCTGTTCCTTAGGACCAAAATCTCCCCGTAAGGAGAAAAAAAAATCAAAGTTTTATTTCTTTTACATTGTTGTTTTTAGCGCACACAATGATAGAGTACTTAATAAATTTTAATAAAAGTCTTCATTTAGATATATTATATTATATTTGTTTAGACCAGAAAGGAAAGTTATTACGTAGTTATACTCTACAATTCAAAAGGGAAAAGTTTTTTAAAGTTTGACAAACCTTAAAGTCTTTTCAGCTCGTGGAGGATCCGTTTCAGTGAAGTTAGCAGTGAAGTTAGCAGTGAAGTTAGCAGTGAAGTTAGCGTTCACGGAGGGAAACTTGTTGCTGTTCTGCTCAGTCAGAATGTTGCTGATGTCAGAAAAATCTGCTGTCATGTCATGAGCTGGAAACAAAATAAATAAATAAAATCAACAAACGTGTTTGCAAAAAACAAGTTGCATCGTATTTTCACTTAAGACTTACAAAATAATTTCATGATTTTGGCAAAAGTGCCAATCAGGTGTAAAATCTGCTGTAGAATTTAAACTGAGGTAACGCTGAACAGAAAATCGTTTGAAAAAAAAGAAAGAGGAGACATTCTACCCTAAATGCTGCAAATGCAAGCATTGCTGAAAATAATTCACTCATGTAACATCGCGTAATGTTTCAGCTCTCTGCATCACTTTGAGTCATCAAGCTTTATTCTTTTTTATACCCTTGCTAATTCATCAGTTCGATTTCAGAAAGGAATCAATGACATTTTTTTTTTTTATAACAGAAACATAAAATGTACTCATTTTTACATCTTTAAGATGACTATAACAAGACTCACTGTGTACACTGAGGGCGATGAGTTCGGTCAAAAGGAAAACGTTCAGGATTCCCAAAGATACGGCCACACCGAGGCAGAGCCTCTCTTTGGAGCTGCTGCTACCTGAACAGAAACCTGAACAGAAACCTGAGCCTTAGCAAAATGTAATTAAATTAAATACATACTATATTTCTCTGTAACTTTGTTCTTACCTGTGGGATGAGATGCACTTTGTTCAACAGGTTCCATATTGACGTAAATTTCCTCCATCGCTTCAAAACTCTGTACTGGGTTTTTTATTTTTTTAAAACATTGACTATAAGTATAGTGGAGCAAAATGAAAAACTGTGGGAAAGAGGTTAGATGTCTGGGGTTCAACATAAAAACGTATTTTAGAGATAACAACCAAATAAAGAAATTCATGAGTATGGAATCAGAATTATTTTTCTTAAATATCTTATGCCACATAAAATTCTTGAAGGTTTCAATAATTTCCTAGGTTCATATTTGCTGAGTCAATTCTGTATCGCTGAATATTTATTTCTCCTTTTTTCTTTGTTTTCCCTTCAGCTCGGTTAATCCTACTCATAATAAACACATTACAATTTTCTTTGGGTGACTAAAATAATTGACTTTTACATTCACGCACAACTTTGCGGTCGACCACATGGTACTGCATGGTACTGCATGATATCAAAAATTTAAAAAATGTTTTAAATCACTGATATAAGAGTAAAAACAATAATAATAATCTGATGTTGAGATATTTCTGCTCTATGCATCCAAAATGATTTCCTTGAAGGCTAATACATTGTTGGAGCAGATAACCGGTTCCCTCCTCTGTCATATTAAGATCATAATTGTGTCATATGGATCCAACAGTTTTTTTTACAGGTCTCAGTCTGTCCTGATAACTAGACATAGTCTTGCTCTCAGTAAATACAACTGTCATCTTTAACCTTGTTTCTTGTCCAGTAGCAGAAATACTTACATTAAGAAGCCACAGTCCTTGAGTTGCATTCCAAATGACCAAACTTGTATCACCCATGAATCAAATAATTAAGGAATTGTACGTATTTGTTCATATTTTAAAGGTATGTAGTTTTTTAGGACCGCTATCTAGTAAAAAAAAAAGCTGCATAATCTGGCTAGTTGGCTGTAAACCTCAGTCACCATGTTTCCTCATCTTCTGAAACAACCACCAGGCAGAGAGCAACAGATTGACAATCAATTTGCTTTGTGAAGCACCGCCTCACTGGGAGGGAATCAAAAGGCTAAAGTGCCAATCAGGTGCAAGTTGGGCGGTTTAAAGTAAGAGAAACTCGATACTGCCTTCAGAGCATGCTGAAGATCAACAAGCAAGCAAGCAAAACATTCACAAAATGGATGTAGAATATCGGAGTTCAGGAATAGAATTGGAGTACAGGATAGAAGAGTTCACTGAATAAAGACATTGCACAGAAATTCAGACTGGGAAGCTAACTGGCAAATTGCTAGCTAAGTATGTAGAGCAGGAAAATAGGTTGGATTTACTTAAATTTATGCAAACCAATTGCCTCAAAAGATTCAGTTACTGCAACATATAAAATACAAGTGTAGTTACACTGTGTAATTTTGGCAAAGAATATTCTTAAACTCATCCAGAATATTATTCTCTGCAAAAAAACTTCTTTTATTTTCTACCTACAGCAGCAGCAGCACCAGCAGCAATATATTTGCTACATACAATAAAGATACACGGTCTCATTTTTTTTTTTTTTTTGGGACATAGTTGTCCTGTTCAAAACCTTGTGGTTTGCTTGAGCAGAAATGGTGTGGTGTCTGCTGGGCATGTTAAAACGTTAAACATTTAGCACACAACATCCTCACTACTTTCAGATAGTTCACTTTTTATTTTATTTTTGTTGTTGCGTGGACTCAATTTAAATAGATTAACTGATAAAGCTTTTTTTTTTTATTGTTTGTGTGTTTTATCCAAAGATTCCTGCCAATGGTTTAAGATGAGTATAAACAACTAGTTGATGATAATTAAGTGATGTTCACTTGGACTTTTTTTTTTTTTTTTTAAAAGTTTGATTTTTTATTTTACACTGAGAGCGGCCAAAGTCCAGGTTCAGCAGAAGGCTGAAGGCATCTGATTCAGGCTTCAAACTAAGTACCCGTTTGCTTTACTGTAGAGCTTTGGTAAGGTTAAATTTAGTGGGCTAAAGAAAATCAGACAGTTGATTCTCCAATGTGAGAAATCCCTTGAGGTAGTCAAGTTTCTTGTTTGTTCAAATTTTGTTAGTCATTTACATAGTATGATGACTAATTAACAGTTGATTTATTAAGTGATCTTCAGTTAATAAATACAATGTAATCTTTCAATTCATAGTTGAAGTTCTATTATCGGAATTCTGCAAATTAAATATTTTGTCGTATATTTCAATAATTCCTTTCATTCAGTCTAAGCTCCCTGAAAAGGAGAAATTACCTTTCAGATCAATATATTTTTGATTGCTTTGAGTATCATGATATTTTTACTTCATCTGACTGATATGATCTTCTTTAACGCATGCTGATGGTTCATATTGTTCGTTAATAAGCTTATCATTTACAAGAGGTGAACATTAGTGAACATTAGTGAACATTAGTGAACAGATAGCATCATGAGAAGCAAGGAACAAAAGCTGTAGATAATTTTAACGGTAAAAAAAAAACAATCACCATGTTGTGACCAGCTCTGGGAGAAGGGGCTGTGTAGTGAGTATGTTTTATTTTTTTAATATTTGTTTTTAGGTAAAGTGCACCATTAGCAAAACTTAGTTAATGTTATTATAACTTGGGGCTAGTTGTCAGAAGATGTGAGAGGGGTTATTTTAAAAAAAGAAAAAAAATCACTGATTGAATGGTTGGTTGATAGCCAGCATATATTTGAAGTTGTGCAACAAAAACCAAACTAAAAAAATTATATGAAACCTGAATGGCCATTCAGTTTGATAAATATTTACGCAGACTATTATTCAATAAATCGATAGAAATCCAAGTGCATGCATTGAAACATCCAATAAATAATAGGAATTGTATTCACTATCTGAATACAGACTGAAAGTTTACATTGATCATTTATAAGCTTCAGTAATGGAAATTCAACAACTATATTTTGTTACTGAACACACTCAAGTGTGTAAAATGATGGATGGAGGAAAAAAGCATCATTTGGGCTGAGAAACATACAGCATATAAGTTAGAGACAAAAGTAGTGGATAATGATAAAGGTAACAAAATAATTTACCATGTCGGAGCGTAGTTGTGCAGTGTTAAAAAAATAAAGAAAGAAAGAGAGAAAAAATAACTTTCAACTCTAGGGAAAGCTAAACTTAAATATGAGTAGTCTCAGTAAGGTCTGTTTAAGTGTCACATATTCTTAAGAAATAAATTTACAAATGAGAAACTTTTACTGACATGTTTCACACTAGCGAGTGTTACAGAGAAAAATGTATGAGTTTCAAATGTGTTTATACCGGCGTTTACTATTTTGGAGAAAGCATGAAGCTCTGGGAAGATCAGTGTTGATTCAGCAGCAGGAAAAAAAATTGAACGAAAGTAGCATTTACAATGATGCGAGGATAAATTTTGGAAAATTCTGGACAAATTCTTTAACCAAGGAAAGTTAAAAGTCTAATTTGAATAACCTCCCGTTGGCCTGCTTACAAACAGTCACATATTCTTAAGAAGTACATGTACAAATGAGAAACATTTACTGAAATGTATCACACTAGTGAGTGTTACAGAAAAATCTATGAGTTTCAAATGTGTTTAAAGCGTGTGTCGCTCACAGATAACTGAAGGTAATCACTCTTTAGACAAAGAGCGATAAACTGAGAAAAAAAAAACAAAAACCAGATGTCGCTCTGGTTTGCCCCCCTCATGAACCAGCGGGGTTCATGAGGGTCTTGCTCTGAATTCCCCCGAGGTGGCTAATTTGTCATTCTGTCTGCATCCAGCAAAGTTCGCACCTACTTGCAAGCAAGCAAGCCTCTGCATATCGCAGCTCGGACCTCCAATTCTATGCCTGGCTGAATAAAGACACAGAATCAGAAGCAACATCTCCATTCCAAATCTATTTCAACTTCACTACATAATTATATACTTTTTTTTTTTTTACTTGGTTAAATAATTGTTGTTGTTGTTGGGTGCTGTATTACTCTTAAAAAGAAAGTCAGATATACGACATTTTCTGAATTCAGCAGAGAGAAAACAGAAAAAACCTAACACAGAGACCATATGGATTTCACAGGCCGTACCCTATATTTGATCAACCCCCCACAGCTCAGACCACAGTTGTACGCCAGTCGCAGAATCAGAAGCAACATCTCCATTCCAAATCTAATTAAAACTTCAGTAGACATAGTATATAATTATATACATTTTTCTTGATTAATAACTGTTGTTGTATTGGTATTACTCTTTAAAAAGATAAAAATCAATAGGAGGAGGAGGAGGAGGAGGAGGGGAAGGAGAAGGGGGGGGAGGGGGGGGGGGGGGGAATTAGGTCAAAGGGGACCTGTCAAAATGGGACTTGACGAGAACCTGTCCCTAATGTCTCTCTCCCAGTGATGCTCGTGTAGTTGAGAAATCAACTGATCCCTTAATTTCTTAGGCACCACCACTCGTAATCCCCACAGTAGACAATCATCTTCAACAGTGAGCTCAAAACGTCTCTGAAAATATGGCTTCAGCAACTCATCCTGTACATGTTAGGCCAGCCAGTTAACACCAGCTGTTTCACCACCTTTAACACAGGATCTTTGTCTGTTTCTTTTGCAACCTCCTTTGCAGTGATAGGTAGCTCGTCAAGATAAGATACTTTGTAAATAGGGTTTGACACCACATCCACATTTGGTTTCATCGGTAACCTTGATAAAGCATCCGCATTACTGTGTTGCTCAGATCTTTTGTACTGAATCTCATATTTGTAGGCAGCTAGAATTAGAGCCCACCTTTGCAATCTAGCAGCAGCTAGTGTTGGTACACCTGTTTTTGGTCCCAAGATTTTAGCAATGGTTTGTGGTCTGTTACCAAAATGAATTTCCTTCCATAAAGATAGTCATGGAACTTCATAACACCAAACACTAAACCAAGTGCTTCTTTTTCAATTTGTGAGTAGTTTTGTTCAGTCTTAGTTAGCATTCGTGATGCAAATGCAATCGGTCTTTTGCTTCCATCTTTCATTTGGTGACTGATTACAGCACCAACTCCATAAGGAGATGCATCGCATGCTAAAATAAGTGGTAACTCTGCATCAAAATGTACCAAGATTTTGTCAGATTGAAGAGCCTTCTTGGCATTCTCAAAAGCATTCTGACAACTTTCTGACCAACTCCAGTCTGCATCTTTGTGTAGCAGTGCTGACATTGGCTGGATCAGAGTCGATAAGTTTGGTATAAACTTCCCATAGTAGTTTAACAGAGCCAAGAATGACCTAAGTTCAGTTACATTTCTTGGAACTGGAGCCTTCTGAATAGCGGTTGTCTTTTCCTTCATAGGATGAATTCCAGTAGCATCAATGACATGTCCTAAATATGAAACACTGTCTTGCATGAATTCACATTTTTCTCTCCTTACCCTAAGGTTGTAGCTTTGGAGCCTCTTAAGGACCTCCTTTAAGTTACTCAGGTGGCTTTCTGCATCTTTACCAGTTATCAAAATATCATCAAGATAGCAGATAACACCATCCATGCCCTGAAGTACTTGATCCATTATTTTCTGGAAAATTGCAGGAGCACTTGCAACACCGTAGGGCAACCTGTTGTATTGATACAGCCCTTTGTGAGTGTTGATGGTCAGGTAGCACCTAGAGCTGTCCTCCAACTGGACTTGCTGGTAAGCCTGCGATAAGTCTAGTTTGGTAAATTTCTGACCTCCTGCTAATTTTGCAAATAGATCTTGCGTTTTTGGAAGTGGATATTGATCCACGTTTAACCATGGATTGATGGTGACTTTATAGTCTCCACATAGTCTCACACTGTCATCCTTTTTAGGTATGCACACTATTGGAGCAGCCCACTCACTGTAATTAGTGGGTGAAATAACTCCTTCTGCCTCCAATTTTGTCAGTTCCTTTTCAACAGCTCCTCTTAATGCATATGGAACATTTCTTGGTTTGTGGAACTTTGGCGTTGCTTCTGGAACAACATGTAACTTGGCTTTAATACCTTTCAACTTGCCTAGCTCAGGGTTGAACACTGATCCATACTGAGCGCAAATGTCTTCCACTGTTACTGGAGCCACTCTGTTCACCTGTGACCAGTCTAGCTTCAACTGGCTAATCCAGTCTCTACCCATCAAAGCAGGGCCTCTTCCTTTTACTACTAACAGTTCTAGTTTCTTAGTGGTCTCTTGACATTTCACTTTTGCCACAAATTTACCCATCAACTGTAATGACTCTTGACTGTACGTTTTAAGTACACAATTTGCTGAACTAAGTTTGACTGATTTAAATCTGCGCCTATACAGATTTTCAGATATCACTGACACTGCGGCACCAGTGTCTAGTTCCATCTTCACTCTTGAACCATTTACACTGACATACACATAGTAAGGCTTTACAATGTCATCATTACCTGTGTTCATTTCAAACAGACCAAAATCTGGACTGTCCAATGTCAGATCTGGAACAGTGTCAGAGTTCGGTGCAGCTTCCGTCTTGCACTGAACCACATTACTGGCTGCTCTGTCTTCTCTGACTTGATGTGACAGGAATTGGTTGTCCTCGGGATCTCTTTTTAACCCATGCTGGTTGCCTGGATCTGCATCCTGGGGCGCATCTTCAGGGGGGCTATGCAGACTGTGGACATCCTGCTGTTGAACGCAGACATCATGGCGCTGCTTGAGAGCGCTGGGTTGCCTCTTAAAATCCAGATGCATGGTTCCTTTGGTCGTACTCGAACAACCTTCTTTACGCGTGCAACAGGCTTTTGCGATGTGTCCCTTTTTCTTACACTCGTGGCACTCACTTTCTTTAAACCTGCAGTCATTCGGGTTATGATTTTTTCCACCGCAGCGATAACAGGGCT